AATTCGATACGGAATATCATAGCCGCATTTGTTATTTTGAAAACGCGATACTTGCCGAGTCTCTACGATCACGGCGCAACAGGAAAAGTTTGTAAATACAATTTAAAAGATTCTTTAAGCAAAATGCACAATCAGATGCGATAGTTCTTTTCTCGATGTTTGTGTTTACGTTTATTTATTATTCATTACATATTTCAATTGTATATATGTGGAAGTAATTTGTAACGTATTTTTTACAATGTTATTGGTTTTTTGCTTTGCGAAAAATTGAATGTCTTGTTTTTGAACGAAATTTCGGCTGTCTGATTTTTGCACCACTAACTCTAACGTATCATTTGCTCAACCAGTTTATATGCGTATTTACCATTTTTCACAAAGATCGGCCCAACTTTAAAGGTAGATCTTCCCAGAGTCATAGAAAAAATGTTGAAACAGGAGCAAAACAACTATTTTAATTTTATCAGTTAGCTTAACCGGCTTAGGAGGATATGCTGCTTAATGTTCCCATTATTGAGAAATAAAGGTTCTAATTAATTTAATTTTCTGGAACAATGATAAGTCGTGCAGAAAAGGTCTTACAAATTAAAAAAAAATATATAAAAATTCGAAGCATTTGTAGCGATTTTGGATTAAATCATTTCGAGACTAACGCGTCCTTCACAGCTTTCAAGAAATATCATCATACAAGCTCTATACATCCACGTCTCTCGCTTTTATCTAAAACAGGAACAGTTGGAAGCATATCCTGTGAACCGCAATTTATTAGACATTTTAATATGGATTTATGCATGGAAAATAGGATTTTCGCATAGAATTTGCCCGCCAACTTGGATAGATTGCCTCTTTGCATTTGCACCGATCGCTACTACCAAGTAAGGTTCCTGGCTGGGAGCTCTATAATTCACTAGACATCCTTAAAACAAGTGCTCTCCAAAAAATGGCATCAAGTAGATTGACTTTGTGCGTCCTACTACTTCGCTGGCGGTTTCAAAGGAAATGGATGAGTAAATCGTTTCAAAAGGCAAAATCAGGTCGGGATATACAGGAGTTGGACAAAATAATATGAATACCATGGAATACAGGGTGACTTGTAATGTCACGTATCCCTGTTAAGGGCTGATAGACTAGGTCAAAAGCAACCGATTTTGTCCTATAATGTCCTATCCAGAAGTTAACCGTTTTTGAGTTATTTGAATTTTATTTTTTTTAAATGTCCTCCTGTGGTATCTCATTCCAGGCAACCACCAACTCCTCTCGAAGTGCTTCTAGAGTCTGAGGAGGACGGTGAAAATTGAGCAATCTCCTACCCATCATATCCCACACGTGATCAATTGGGGATAAGTCGGGAGATCTTGGTGGCCTTGGTAACAATGAGACATCATTATGTTGAAAGAAGTCTATTGTGACTCTGCAACATGTGGCCGGGCATTATCTTGTTGGAAAGTTGGATCTGCCAGGGTGTCAAGATAGGGTAAAAGATGGGGTTCTAGAACTTCGTGGATATAACGCTGCGCGTTCATGTTACCTCTGATGAAGATTAAGGTGACCTGGAACCATAAGCTATAGCACCCCAAACCATAACTCCAACAGTGTGATGAACATGTCTTTCAACAAAAAACCGTGGATTCCTCCTTTCACCACGTCGCCTTCTAACCCTGGCACGACCATCGTGCATGCCTAAACAAAATCGAGACTCGTCACTAAAGACAATACTGTTCCATTCCTGATCCCAGAGTGACCGTTGTCTGCACCACCCAAGGCGATTACGTCGGTGTTCTCGAGTTAAAGGGAGGACCCAGTGTGGCCGGTATGAAAACAAGCCAAAACTTCTCATTCGCATGCCAATAGGTCTTCCGTGTTCTGCAAACCATTCATTTGCAATGGACCTGGTAGTGGAGAAACGATCCCTTAAGGCCAATAATCTTAGGCGGCGATCTTCACGGTCTGTTGTTCTACGGCGGCGTCCAGTGCCCCTTGCTCTTTGCGTACGGCCTTCTCGAAGCCATGCCTGACAACACCTAACCACAGTGTCTACACTTCTTTGCACTCTAACTGCAATTGCCCTAAAAGAAAGTCTAGCTTCCCGAAGTCCCACTATACGGCCCCTATCAAACTCACTATGTTGACGAAATCGTACAGGTCTCCGTACTCTAGGCATCGTAACCGATCGTAAAGGATGTCAAGAACCAAAATCCGCCAACGTTGATTCTTTACTGCGGCTGAAATATTCATTTTTAGAGCGTTAGTGAATTAAAAAAAAGCAGTATAAAAACCGGAATGTCCAACTGATAAGGCTGAAAATTTTTTCACTTGTTATTTACAGTAAGATAAATACATTCACCAACTTTTATTAAAATAAAAACATTTAAATTGGGTGTCCGGATTTATATGTCACTTAGTATACATTCACCAACTTTTATTAAAATAAAATCATTTAAACTGGGTGTTCGGATTTATATGTCACTTAGTATATCTAGATAAATGAAAATTGAAGGTGTCAAGATGATTTAAAATTTGCCTATAATCGTTAATAAAATGTAAATCCATATATAATAATTTTAGCTAAAATTTCATGAATATTAACAAATCTCATTGTATCAGTTACTATTGCATCGGAATAGAAATAATTAATAATGATTTCACAAAATTGCCACTTCGAAGTAAATCTCTAAGCTCTATCAATATTGCAGTAATTATGAAATGTTTATGAAATATGAAAATGGAGCAAATTGAAGAGCCGCTAATTATGGATAACCGATTTTATCATTTGCTTCTAATTGTGACTCAGTTATTACGAATTGGCCGCCTTGCTCTTGCGGTTTAACACCTTCGGACTTTTGGGTTTGGGGTTATCTGAAGTCACAAGTTCATACCAACAAGCCTGCAACCACCGAAGCAATGAAAGCTTAAATCAGACCCTGTATCAACGAGATACCACGACATGTCTGCAAAAATGTTACCACAAATTTTATTAAAAGAGTGCGCATGTGCCAGCGGGGCCGTGGCAGCCGTTTACTTGATCTGTTCTTTCATACATAATTCCAAAGTGTATACACCTTTTTTCTATAAATATTTTAGTTGTTTGTTACGAAATACCATGTTTAATATACTAAGTGACATATAAATCCGAACACCCAGTTTGAATGGTTTTATTTTAATAAAAGTTGGTGAATGTATTTATCTTACTGTAAATAACAAGTGAAAAAAATTTCAGCCTTATCAGTTGGACATTCCGGTTTTTATACCGCTTTTTTTTAATTCACTAACGCTCTAAAAATGAATATTTCAGCCGCAGTAAAGAATCAACGTTGGCGGATTTTGGTTCTTGATATCCTTTACGATCGGTTACGATGTCTAGAGTACGGAGATTTCGTACGATTTCGTCAACTTAGTGAGTTTGCTAGGGGCCGTATAGTGGGACTTCGGGAAGCTGAACTTTCTTTTCGGGCAATTGCAGTTAGAGTGCAAAGAAGTGTAGACACTGTGGTTAGGTGTTGTCAGGCATGGCTTCGAGAAGGCCGTACGCAAAGAGCAAGGGGCACTGGACGCCGCCGTAGAACAACAGACCGTGAAGATTATTGGCCTCAAGGGACCGTTTCTCCACTACCAGGTCCATTGCAAATGAATGGTTTGCAGAACATGGAAGACCTATTGGCATGCGAAGTGTTTACCGACGAATGAGAAGTTTTGGCTTGTTTTCATACCGGCCACACTGGGTCCTCCCTTTAACTCGAGAACACCGACGTAATCGCCTTGAGTGGTGCAGACAACGGTCACTCTGGGATCAGAAATGGAACAGTATTGTCTTTAGTGACGAGTCTCGATTTTGTTTAGGCATGCACGATGGTCGTGCCAGGGTTAGAAGGCGACATGGTGAAAGGAGGAATCCACAGTTTTTTGTTGAAAGACATGTTCATCACACTGTTGGAGTTATGGTTTGGGGTGCTATAGCTTATGGTTCCAGGTCACCTTTAATCTTCATCAGAGGTAACATGAACGCGCAGCGTTATATCCACGAAGTTCTAGAACCCCATCTTTTACCCTATCTTGACATCCTGGCAGATCCAACTTTCCAACAAGATAATGCCCGACCACATGTTGCAAGAGTCACAATAGATTTCTTTCAACATAATGATGTCACATTATTACCATGGCCACCAAGATCTCCCGACTTATCCCCAATTGAGCACGTGTGGGATATGATGGGTAGGAGATTGCTCAATTTGCAACGTCCTCCTCAGACTCTAGAAGCACTTCGAGAGGAGTTGGTGGTTGCCTGGAATGAGATACCACAGGAGGACATTGACCACCTTATCAGAAGCATGCCTAGGCGCGTTGGAGAATGCGTAGCACATCAGGGTGCATCCACACATTATCAAAGGTCAAAGGGCTTTAAAGCAGTGCAATCATTTTGAAATTTTTATCATTTACTTATTATGCTTCATTAAGTACTTATACGTATACAAAATGTTATTAAAATAAAACCATTTAAACTGGGTGTTCGGATTTGTATGTCACTTAGTATAGAACCTTGAAATATTGCGTCCTTATTGAAACACCATTTAGATGGAAATCTTTAAATTAAAACTGGGAAAGTGACTAGGTTTACCTGCAAGATTACGTTTTTGTGAGTGGTAGTTGCAGCCCATGTCAGTCACAAACCAACATTCCCGAGAAGGTGAATAACTTTCAAAAAACTCATCTCTTGTCATTGAACAATCCCCATGTAGTCCGCCAGTCACATTTTCAACATATCTACTTTGAACATTTGGACTGGCATGGTAAATGGACCTTATTGGACCTTTTATATTCCAAATCGGCTGGCGGTAACTTCCAACAGTACTCATAAGTGACAGAGACGTACTTGAAATTTCTCTACGAATGAACGTTTTCCTTGTTGTAATTTTTCGTTACTGTTTCATCACACATTACATTGTTATTTCCAGCGTAGTTCTTTCTAAAACTGTTAGGACACCCTGTATATATAGATTGAGACCTACCTGACAAGGCGCCTGGAAAAGATAAGCGTCACCGAAGGCAGTGCTCAGACAGAATATGAAGTCCCTCTTGGGATGTTCTGGAATGGGCTGCATGATGGCTCCGTCCACAATAATGAGATGTTTGGGCGCCGCTTCTACAGCTCGGCCCTCCCTGGATTCGCATGGGTAAAAAAGCAGGGTAGTGCCTTTCAGACACACCCAGTACCCCTTCCAACCGCGCTTGCGCGCCAGTTCTATCTGGTGTTTCTTCCGGAGCAGCCATTTCTTCACGCTCAGAAAGCTGGAAAGAATAGAAAATATGAAACTTATTTAAGCGTAAATCCCAGAACACCGCGGTTTCTATGAGGAACTTAAGGCGGCTCCGACGCAGTGAGTTTCAAGCCATTTACAAGGGTTCAGCTGCTTCGAAACTGACAATATTTTTGAATAAAATTCATACAGTATGTTGAGAAGATAATTATTGCCCAGGTTGCTATAGGAGCACTTTTTGAAATTTTATTTCTGCACAAGTTTTATGATGGGTTGAAGTGCGAACTTTTTTTGTTCCACTTCGAGATTTTTTAAAAAAGAACCTAGTGACAAAAATGAAAAAGTGGCTCTATAGCACCCTGTGGGGTTTTGTTTTCAGCACACTGTGAAAATTTCATCCAAAAATATCAAAAAATAAAGCGTCAATTTCGAAGCGCGCAAACCTCTACAAATTGTATTTTGGACGAATTTTGTCCACTGTGTCGTGCTGCCAACCCAAGCAATGTACGGACTAAGAAAGGACGTATTCAGATAATTTGGTGACCCTATTTCATATAATATCGCGTAGATAAGTCGTTCTGCAAATAGGTACTCATAATCGCGATGATTGATACTCGCCGATTTTAAAGCCGTTTTACTTCCCACGCAATTGGCGAGGAAGTATTTTAATTGCGAAAAATTTCTAAAATGGGATGTTATGTTTTTTTAAGTCATATAACATCTACATCACGAAAAACTGTATCACTCATCATCAACTTGGAAATTACCGCTCGGATTTTTATGAAATTTCCACACGGGGTTACTAGTATGCCAAAGCTTTGTAGTTTTAGCCCAGTGGCAACGGTGCTATAGGCAAAAAAGAAAAAGTAACAATTGCTGAAACTCCGTTTTTGATGTTTCAGGGGTTCCTAATAATTGACATAAAAAATGAAATCAGTGAAACACGTTCTATTATTAAGAAGCTTCTGATCCCAGTGGTTACAGGAAATTTAAGTATAGTCAACGCCAAACAAAGTGGCGTGCACGTCATCAAGGTGGGTGTGTTGAAAACTTTACATTGTTGCCAAACTTTTTGTAAAATAATAAAATTTATTATTCACATATCTAGGTTTATAAGCAATATTAACCTCAAATGAGAACAAAAATAATAGTATAATAAAATTATAGATCTGTACTTGCATAATCATTAAGTATGACAATTATTGATCAGATGACACTATGAAACTACCATATTTAATTGATAGCTTAAAGGTACTGAATAAAAATCCAAATGGGGTCCTCCAAATTTTATGCATGGTATTTATTTTACAGAATTCATACAGAAAGATGCATTCTAAAATTAGGTAAGCTACTGGTGTAAGCTTTTTCTGTACAATAAAGTTAGTCGGAGTTTCTTTCTTCAGCGCTGTCTGAATCTGAATCTTCATCACTCTCAAAGTTGATTATTAAAGGTTCGATGTCTGGTCGATCAAAAATTCGTTCTCTTTCATACCATTTAAAAATTTCTTGCTCAGTATGTCGAACACTATTTTTCCACATGTCTGGGGTAACCGTTTGTAGAGCCTCGTTACACATATCCAAACAGTCTTTTTCACTGTTACCATCTCTACCAATATGTCTGTTATAGTAACCTTTTGCTATGCCCCAAATTAACTCAATAGGGTTAAATATACAATGGTAAGGAGGCAGAAGAAGAACTTTGTGCCCATGTTGTTCCGCCAATTCATCAATCACGTCTATTTTAGGTGGTTTGTTTCTAAAAAAGCAGTTATTTTAAGAATAGGAATAAACAAAAGAAATATAAACTGTCGACCAAAATATATATAATTAAGAAGCATTATGTACCGAGCAACAATACTCAATAGCTCTGTTTTAAACATTGTGTTTAAAAATGGTATGTTTTGATTTGTCAACCAGTCTTGGATATTTTTTTTTGTCCATGCATTGTTGGGCACTTTGTTCAATATCATGCTGTGATAAGGGGCGTTATCCACTATAATCATAGATGGACTCTCCAATTTTTCTAATAACTGAAGTTGAAACCATTTCAAAAAATTGTCCTGGTTCATCTCTCCATGGTAATCGCTCAATTTTGTTTTCGAAGAAAATATCGCTTCACTACCCTCAATAAACCCATTTTCATTTCCAGCATGTAATATAATGTATCTAAAATATATTAGTTTTAAATTTTATAGTGCAAATTGTGTAAAAGTACATACCTTTTACCATCTGTTTTAATAGCTTTCACGCTTTTTTGGTTTCCATTTTGCCAAGAGCGACCTATGGTCCCATTTTGAAATATCCAAGTTTCATCGAGGAAGACAAACTGGTATAAGGCCTCAACCTTGGCTTGATTGTATTGCCTTAGAAATTCCACCCTTTTCAAAGCTATACTTGGTAGTTCCATGAGCCCTCGTCGCGGATTGTCCTTAAGCCACTTAAATCCAAGATCTCTAAGCAACCGCCTTAAAGACGTGGCACTACCATCAAATAATGCCCTATCTCTTAATCGAGACCATAAAGTTTGTATCGTAACTTGTTCTTCTGAAACCATGTGTAATATTATATATATTATAATTTAGTTAACAAATTAATGCAAATTTCTGATAAGTTATTATAATAAGATCTTACTTTTGTGATACATATTATAGATCACTTCTCGAATGGCACTTGTATCCAATGTCGCTGTGTTGGTTACACGTTTAATATAACTCCGCTTTTTCTTGGGCGATTCTAAATTTGCATCACTTTTCACACCCTCGGAAATACGACTAACTGTCCTTAAACTAATTTTTAAAGCAGCAGCAACACGCTACAAAAAATGAAATAAAATTTCACTATTATTAATATACATTACATATAATTATTAGTAACCTACCTCTTGAACAGCATTTAAAGGCAACAAAGGCCCGTTGTTGTCCCTTTCTTGCTCAAAGTAGTGCATTAACGAGGCCACGAGTTCCTTACACCGACTATTTAACTGTTTGGGCATCTTTATATACCAAAATTGCCTTTATCTACTCGTAAAATGAATAATTTTGTTTTGAAACAAACAGTTGTTGATTTACAGTATGCGGGGCCAAAGGATTTATAAAGATTTGAAATGCCACAAATTGATTCAGTGTTAAAATTAATACAAATGTCAGTTCCCAGTTTAAATAAGTTTCAAGGTGACAATGTGTCAACGCTGCGAAATCGGTTTAGTGCGTTTACATGTCGATAAGTGATTGGAGCGTTTGCAAAACATTTTATTTCGCATAATGCGTCTAAATTTATCAGAAAGCAACTTATGTGATATTTTAATAACAATGTTTATATGACTATTAACCATAATAAGAGAGTAATGACCATTTTACAATTTATATATCACATTAATATGAAACTGCAATAGAGCAATTGTTTGTGATAGAAACCTAGGCATTAGGTCGGGGAATTTTTATCGTGATGACGTGCACGCCACTTTGTTTGGCGTTGACTATACCTGCTCTATAGGTTTGACACCAAGAGCCAACAGATCTGCAACTACCGACAGTAGGGAAGAATAAATTCGGATATCACTCGAGTCAATTATAGGGGAATTTAGCGTGGAACTTTAAAATAATCGATATGTCAAGGAAATATGTTTTTGAGACTGATAATTTGGTAGATTTTATACCTGCATTTTCATTGGAATTTCATGACCCGTGAAATGTACTCATTTCGCCGTTACCTTCAATTTGTGTTCTGCAGTTTGTGATGTTTTTCTGGATATAAAGCAGGACATAATTCCCTAGGGTGCTATCAGCGCTTTTTACAAAATTTTGTCTTTGCGCAAGAATTATGGTGGGTTGAAAGCTTACTATTTGTGCTCAAGTTCTTGATATTTTAAAAAGATCCTAGTGGATAAAATCGAAAAAGTGGATCGCTGGCACCCCGTGGACTTTGTTTTTAGCGCGCTGCAAGACTTTCATTTGTAAATAATAAAAATGAAACGTAGGCTGTGATGTGCAAATCGGTTTTTGGGCGAAATTCATCTACTGTTTCGTCCTGCCAGTCCAAGCGACGTGACGGTGCGTTCCGACTAAGAAAAAATGTATTCATATAACTTTATATCTTTCCTAAAATAAATTCAAGAACTCAAATTGAAATTCGTTTATTCATGTCAATAAACACAATTATGTTTACAAGGGTCATGTGGTAGATGGTAACAATTGAACGAGGGTCATAAAAATATCTTATGCGGTCAAAATAAGAGGAAACAGCTAGGTACTCTTTGCAAAGCAATAAACAGGTATTCTTATACATGTATTAAGGAGATGTCTTGTCTACTGTAATAGGTAGATGGAGGTGATGCTGCCAGAAATGGATGTGTGCGATCAATAAACAAACCACAAGATTGGACTGTCCTGTCCCATGATTTTTGTATTGCATTTTTTTATTGCCTTACTAGAAAACTCTGTTGAGTATATGATGGTGTTTACTAGAACTTTACAGCTTGCTGTCTGCCTTCTTCTACAAACTTCACACCAAATCGAGACGCTGTTGACCTCATCCTCCGATGAAGACGCCAAAAATTACAGTCCTGCGATTTGCCGACTTGTTCGATCTGCAAAATCTCGTTATCACTTTTTCCCTAAAAATTCTTGCTTAGCATCCTCCAAATCAATGTCATTCATGTCAGGTTTTTGACAGAATTCGCCATGAAACTATTCATTTTCTTTGGAATTGCTGTCCGAATTGTTATTTTTATATCAGCTTTTTTTGGTCCGAGTATCTTTTCAAGATTCTTGCGTTTGAGTCTTTGTTCCATCTTAGTGATATGCGAGGTTGGACTAAGCTTAGAACGCAAATTTAGACCACCATAGACAGGCCGCTCTGTATTGTGGCTCGCTACAGCTGCAGCGTATCTTCCATGGTATGACCTATTCTTGCAATAATTTATTAGCTCACCCCAAAGTATTTTGCGATTATAGAGTTGAACTGCTTCACACTATTGTCGTCCTCATCATGAATTAAATTCACTGCATTCGTAATTAAAATTGTCGCATATGAC